TCTGATTAGAGTAAGCTAAATAATGTATATATACAAAATAAAATTCAGAATATAATTAAGATAAATTCAGAACTTCAACTCTTCATTTCATATTCATGCTTCATGTTTCCGTTTACAGTAACCAGCGTGTCAGTTGTGTACCTGATATTGGAAGCAAAAGAAAAGGAAGATCAGCAGAAATGCAGTAGCATACAACAACAACAACAACAGTCCAGCAACACAGGAATAGATCTGTAACAGAGTTTGCAAACCAGTGGAGTAGTAACCCAAGAAAGAAGCTTCAAGTTTCGATGAAACAATAGCAATTAATGCTGATTTCAAAACAATGAAGGAAAGTAGAAGATTTTTTTTTCCAGTTTTGTTCTCTCTCTCCCTGTTCTTTTTTTTTAAGTATCAAAATGAGTCCTCTTATATCCAAAGCAAGACTCCTTTTTTTCTTTTTACCTCTTTCCTTTTTCCTTTAAACTATTCTTACTACCCCTTTTTACCTCTTTTTTCTTTTACCCCAATATTCTTCTACTATGTATAACTTTTAACGTTTTATTATTACCTATACTATTTTTGATTTTTACTTAAGTAAAAGCAGTCAACATGGACCCCACAGTTCCCCCATTTTGAGTGGTCAAACAAGACCTCATCATTAACCCCCTCTTTTTACTTTACATCATTATGCCTTGTCCCCCACTACCATATGTCTTGACCCCCACTATAATATTTTAATATTATTAATGCCTAGTGGACGGAGCACTTCAAATTAAATAAATCTGCAATTGGTTAATTCCTGTATTACCCCTAAAACTACTGTTGCTGCCCTGATTCAAAAATCTGTTCAAACTTCAAACATTATCTAAAAGCTAAAATCAAATTAACAGCTACAACCAATTCACCTAATCAATTAACCAAAATATAACAGCTATAATCAATCCTTAATCAAATTCAATCAACAAATTCAAACTAAACGATGAACAACAAAGAAACAACCGGAATTATTTTGACTGAACAATATTTTTAAACAACATCCTATTTTCAGATTCAACAACAATAACAAACAAACATATTCATTTTTTTTAAATTCAAATTAAGCTTAAACGGAATAAATAAACAGATTCAAATCACTAAACTAAATAACCAATTGATCCTCAAACTAGATCTAACAATATTACAGTCAAGACGAAGGATTCAAGTTATCAAACCGACATATTTCTATATTAAAACTAAATCCTTTTAAACGAATAAAAACAAACTGAAAAAATAATTAATTGAACTTCAACTTAAATCTAACGACATTGTAATTAAACTAACAGTTTCTTTATTAAAAATAAACAATAACAAATGAAACAAACTAAAGAAATAATCAAGAAACGATAAACACGAACAAAAACAAGAATCAAACATCTACTGATTTCAGATCCGAGAATATCAAAACAAAATACGGACAGAAATGAAACTTAAGCCCACTAACCGGATCGGAACGACGACGAACTCGAACGAAAACAAATCTGCCCGGAAACAATTATCGCACCAAAATAACTTGACGCCGAAGACGACCACAAACGGACGATAGAAGAAGATGGTCGTTTGGTGTCATTTGAAGACGAAGCAGTGGCGGCGAGGAGGCGGTGAAGCAGTAGCAGCTGCTACTGCTGAACATGCTCGACGGAGGGCAGCTTTGGTGGTCGTCCATGGATGGACGTAGCAGAAGGCAGCAGAAGCGACGCTGCAGCTCGTCCATGGCTGGACGTAGCAGGAGCAGCAGTGGCGACGCTACAGAAACTGGATGAAGCAGCAGCAGCAACGCGGGCAGTCATGGTCGTGCGTCGTGAATCTGGTCGAGCTGCTGGTCGTTTGGGACGAGGAGGTGGAGCAGCAGCGACGATGAAGAAGAAAAATAGCCGTGGCTGAGGTGACAGTGTAGTTGGGCCGTTGGTCGACGGGATCGGTGAAGACGACGATGGAGATGAAACTGGTTGTTCGGACGAGTTGTTGGACGTGACAGTGGTGATGCAACAGCGGTAGGGTGCTGGTTCGAAGGCAGTCGTGGGAGAGGCAGCCATAGTTGCCGGAGGTGAAGGTGACGATGAGGAGGCAGCCATGGCTGCTAGGGTTTGGAGGGATTTGGAGAAGAAGAAAAGGGAGGGGGGCGGGTAGGTTCTTAGGTTTTTTGGGTTTGTTTTTTGTGAAATGAAAAATAGGGAGATAGGGGTGTTGGGTTTTTTGGGTTATGGACTGGGTCGACCTGGTTTGAAATGGACCGGGTCGTAGGGGAAGGTTGGGTATCTTTGGGCCTGTGACTTAAAATTGAAGAAAAGGCTCAATCCGATCTCTTCTATTTTTTGTCCTTTTCTATTTATTCAATTTCCTAAATAATAAAGCTAAAAATGCTAAGATTAAATTATAAAACCCAAAATTATCTGGAAATACTAATTAACTCTTAATAACAATTAACACACAACTAAATAGCGATTAACGATAAAATCGCACAATTTGGACATTAAATGCTAAAAATGCAATGTACATTATTTTTATGATTTTTTCATTTTGTAAAACAAACTTAATTAAATATCAATGCAGATGCGACATATTTTTATATTTTTTATTAAATTTAACTCATTAACATGCACAGGCAAAAATACAAATAATTATCAAAAATGCCAAAAATTGCACACAAAGGAAAATTATTTTATTTTGAATTTTTTGGGAGTAATTCTCATACAGGGCAAAAATCACGTGCTTAAAAGGGGCAGCTGTGAGAACGTGATTTTTGCCCGACTAAAAATACTCCAACAAAATCCACGAAAAAGATTTTTCTAATTATTTTAATTTTTATGGAATTTTTAGGAATTTTCTGTTAATTGTTGTTTGCATTTAATTTCATGTTTAATATTTTTAAAATTAATAAAAGATACCAAAAAATTTCTAAAATATTCATTGCATAGAATTTTAGGTTTAATTGCATTTAGGATTTAATTGCATGAGTTAATTGCATTATTAAATAAAAATTACAAAAATGGTCATTTTTACATATTTAGCTTTTAATGTTAAAATTAGTATTTTTTCATTAGTTTTAAGTTAATTAATTATTCTAATGTTAGAAATGGATAATTAATTTAATTCTATTGATTAGATTTAATTTAGGATTCTAATGTTAGAATTAATTATTTTCCCCCACTTGTGGGATTATACTGGGTCGTCGTTGTTGTTGTTGTTGTTGTTGTTGTTGTTATTGTTGTAGATTAGATTTAATTTAGGATTTGATTTAGGTTTTTAATTAACTTTATTAGGATTTAAAAATCAAGAAAAAGGAAAAGAAAGAAAGAGGGAAAGAAAGAAAGAAGGCTGTGTAGTTATTCGAATTGGGCCTACCTCGATGGCCCAATTCTCCCAAACCAACCCCAGCCCAGTCTCCATAGCCACCCGGTCCACACTTCCCATCACCAAACGACACCGTTTGGTAATCCTCAATCCTCATTATTCATATCTCCAGATCCAACGACCCTAAACTAACCCCCACACCCTTAAAAATGTTAGAACACCCCCTCATACCCCCTATGAACCCTCACAGACTCGTCTCTCTCATCCATCGTCCGATGCCACTGGAAATCGCCTCCAGCGGTGACCTATCGCCAAATAACCCCAAATCTTCACCCTATGACCCTCACACTTCCCTAATCCCAAATCCCTTACCAATTTCCCCAAATAATCACCCAAACTCCTCGAATTTTAGATCTAAGAAGTTAAGAAAACCTAATTTTTCCCTTTCTTATTTTTTCTTCTGAATTCAAGTCATCTTACGTTATAACTCACATTAGTTGACTGCTTGTGTTAAGAATTTCCAAAAGATTTTGGTTTCATATCATTAGACAACCATCAGTTTTGGCCACTCAACCTCACTGGCCGGTCATGGTCATTATCACTTTATGTACTACTTTTCAAGCGTGAATCAATGCTCACATACCGATATCAACCATTAGTTGGATTTCCTAAAGTTTGTTTGTGTTCATCAGTAGGCAACTTTCCTTTTCGATCCTTCCTGTTCTTTATAATTGCATGATTCAATGTTACTGTTTTGTGTATATTGATTGCGTTTAGTGGCTTGAGAGCAGTATTTTGATTAGATAACTGAGGTTCTATTAGTTTAGTCTTAATTATGTTGTGCTAAAACCTGTTAAGTAATGGTTAATTGGTAGTTGTTTAAGTCTTGCCATTTAGTATTAAGTTCTAAAATTAGAATAAAGTTAGTTAGTTTTGATCATGGCATTTAGGGATTTTTGAAAAATCAGCAGAGTTCTCTTTGTTGTTAATAGCTTGAATGTTCTGGAATAGAGATATGCGATCAAAATGTAATAGGATAAAGAATTTAGGGCAAAATTTGGGGTTAAGAAGGGTAAAATACAGAAACTAAAGGGGCTAAAAAATATGAGGGAGTATCTGGATACAACTGTCCATTTCAGTTGCAAAAGATGTTATTTCTCTGTTTTTTAGGGAGTTGCAGAATATTCCTAGTCCCCTCTCTTCCTCACACATAGCACATGCTAACATTCTATAAAAAGGGATTCCTCCTCTCATTCTCAGACACGGAAACACCCTCAGAAATTCAGAGATTTGGTTTCTCCATTTTCATTTTGATATTTCTACTCTTTTGGATATAATTCTAGAAACAGAAAATAAGAAGAAAAAAATAATTCAAGGCTGGTTATTTTTTTCCATTTTTCTATCGGTTTTACTCCATTTTACTGGGACTTTTTTTGGTTGTTGGTTCTTTGGTTCTTGCTGTTTTTTTCTACTGCATTTGTTCTTGCTGCTGCCTAATTCTTTTTTCAATTCCAAAGACTTATTTTCTGTTTATTTTGGTTATGCTGTAAAGAGGTATGTGCCACATGACTTCAGTACCTATTTAAGCATATGAATAAAGTTGGAGTGTCAATAGATTGGTTTAAAGCTTTTTATATGTGTTAATTGCTTGTTTGAGCTACATGACTGCACTACATTCTTCTCTGATTTACTTTACTATTCAATGTTAATATGTAGTTTAAAGAGGAATTGGTCTTACTTAATTTCATATTGATTGTATCTTCAACTAGAAGTGATTTATGATTGATATACATGTCAAAACTGCTCAAAAATGCTTTCTGGTGTCATCATATGAAATACCTACCAAACATGTATTAATCTAAGTTTGTCTTGGGTTGAGGTTTCAAAGGATTCAAGTTGGAAATGGACTGCTGAGTGTTAAATGTATGAAGATAGAAGCAAGTGGAATCAGCTACCTACAATTGAGTAACTACTGTAATTAGTAATTCAGTAGCCTTTTCAGTCATGTTTGAGAAGGACAATCCTCTAAAAATAGTTATTGATGTAAAATTTCGAATATGATTGCTTTGATGTAATGAATTATTTTTATTTTACGGTCATGATTTGAGACTAAAGGTTGCATTACTGTCCCGCTAATCTCCTAAGTCCTTGTATGCCAATCTTGTATTTATTTTGGGGCCAATTTCGAACCTACTAGAAGTTTGCAGATGAAGGTCGGGCAATTTGAGGAAGGTAAGGCATGTTTAGGCTCTATCTTAAGCCCATGTTTTCCACACTGAGTGTGATGACCCAAAAGGTCATCACTTGTTTTAAAACGAAACTTCCGTGTTCTGAGGCCTTGAAAACCTCATTTAGAGTCACCTCGATTTGTGTGAGTAGTCCGGGCACGTAGCCGGAAAGCTTAAATATGAAATTTTGTGAAAAATGATAAGTTTTGACTATAAAATGAATAAATTTGACTTCGGTCAACATTTTGGGTAAACAGACCCGGATACGTGAGTTGACGGTCCCGGAGGGTCCGTAGGAAAATATGGGACTTGGACGTATGCCCAGAATCAAATTCCAAGGTCTCGAGCCCGAAATGAATTTTTAAAGGAAATTATTTTCTGAAATTTTTTAAGAAAGTTTGAAATGAAGTTTGATTAGAAAGAGATGGTATCGGGCCCGTATTTTGTTTCCGGTGCCCGGTACATGTCTTATATATGGTTTAAGTCATTTCTGTAAAGTTTGGTAACGGACGTCGTTTGACGTGATTCAGACCTAAATTGCTAAATTTGATACTTGATGAAGTTTGAGAAAAATATTCTTGATTTTGAGGTTTGATTCATTGTTATTGAGGTTATTTTGGCGATTTGATTGCACAGATAAGTTCGTATGATGTTGTTGAGTTAGTACGTGAGTTTGGTTAGGGACCCCGAGGGCTCGAGTGTGTTTCGGCAAGTTTTGAACTTAGGAAAAAATTGCAGATTCAGAGAAGTTGCAAGTCTCTGAAGTCAGGTCTCGCGGTCCGCGGTGGAAATTTCGCGACCGCGGTGGGGGCTCCATGACCGCGGTGGGATTTGTGCGGTCCGCGGTGAGCAAGGCCAAGCCTCCGCGGCCGCGCTCTATTTCTTGCGGTCCGCGGTGGAGCTCCGTGGTTGCAATCCTTTTTATGCGGTCCGCGGAGAGGGTCTGAGAAGGGTATAAATAAACGGGATTTTCAGTTATTTTCATTATTCAAAACCCCAAAAATATAAGAGACGATTTTTCAAACAACCTTTCTTCTCCAAATTAATTGTAAGTCATTTTTAACTAGTTTTCTTCAATCATTAACATCTTTTAATACGATTTCAACTTCAAATCAATTATTTTCATGGTGGAATTGGGAATTTTAGGTAAAACCTAAGAATATTGAAATTTGGGGATTTAGACCTCAAATTGAGGTCGGATTCCAAAACTAATTATATATCCGGGCTCGGGGGTAAATGGATAATCACGTTTTGGTTTGAATTTCGGGTTTGGATCAAGCGGGCCCGGGGTCGATTTTTGACTTTTTGGGGAAATCTTTATAAAACCTATTTTCATGCATTAGAATTGATTCATTTAGCATTTATTGATATCGTTAAGCAAATTGTGGCTAGATACAAGCGAGTTGGTGGTGGAAACAAGAGGTAAAGCGGTAGTTAAGGCTTGAATTGTGTTCGTTGCATCGAGGTAAGTGTTTGGTCTAACCTTAGCTTGAGGGATTAGGAGTTGTGTCCTATTTGCTATTTGCTTCTTGTCGAGTACGATGTATAGGCAT